ATTTCCCTAGCTATTCGTGAGAATAAAAAATAAGATGGATAATATTTTGAAAAACAACACAAATCCAACAATCAGTTTAACAGTAGATAGGATTGAAGAGGATGTTGAGTCTAATGAAACCGAGTCACTTGTTGGTGATGATCAACAAGAAGAACCTATAGCTGCACAAGATGAAAATAATGTAGCAAGACATTTCATGGACCTTAGTGCTCACTTTGTGAGGAAAGAGGCTGCCATTCTAGTACAAGAATGTTCAGGCCAATTCTCGAACGCAAAGTCACAAATATTGAACTCCTCACTGGGATCAAAAGAATCTGTGTCAAAAAAGACGCATGCAGCTAATAATTCAAAAAAATCTCAAAAGCTTCAACTAGAGTGCTGTCTCTCCTAGGTCAGATGGCAACTAGAAATGATGTGATGGATTAGTTAAAGGTGATAGAAAGCCAAGTGGAGGAAATGGTCTATAACCTTAGCCTGAATAATGCAACGTATGCCTCGAAAGTTGGATCTGAGGAAGAACCAGTGAAAGTCCCTGCAAGTAGAGGACAGGAAGTTGAGCTATCTGGAAATATAGTGATTATGATCTATTCAGTAGAAGGAAATGTCTGCATGGAGAGTAGTGGGGATACTATGGTGGAGTTGAAGAAGCTGAAGGCTTGTAATGTCGGAATACAAGCAGATACATGTCTACCTGCGAATAAAAATGGAGTTAAAATCATCGCAATAGATGATAGTGATGTAAATGTTGAAAAATTAGAGAAGGTTGGTCCTAAGGCTGAAACAATGCGAAAGTTTCTGTCAAGAATGGCGATAATGGGAGTCCCAAGTGGGTGAACTGAAGGTAGAGTCGAAGGTGTGGTGAATGATGAATTAGAAATTCCGCAGGGAGATACAGATGATGGACTATCTGCGAAATTTGAATATGGAGACAAGGAAAAATGCTGAGTCACCTGGCTAATTGAGTGTAGTCCTTGTATGAGTCTTGAGTTATCGTGAAGGGAAAAATTGTTGTTGAATTGGTCCTCTTGCGGGGTAAGAGACCATATTAGAGTCACTCGTTGTTATAACTGTCAGGGTTTCGGCCATGCAGTAACCTGTAGAAACCAGTTAGCCTGTGGAAAATGTTCCGGAAATCATAAAACCAGAGATTGCAGAAAAAGGAATGTTGAATGTGTGAATTGTCTGAAAGCAGCAATTGATAATAGGGAGTGTGACCAGGAAGCTAGTGATGACAAGTGCCCAACTTATACAGGGTAACTGACGGTCCATGGTACGTTAGACGTTTACGGAGAACGGGACATAGGATCATTCTGAAATTTTGGTTACTCACGTAGTTGCTCTTGGTCTATCGATATAAAATATTTTCAGCTCTGCGGCGTTGCCGCTTATATCGAGAAGTAGCAACAACTTTGTTATTTCAAATAGAACACCCTGTATTTTATTGCATTTTCAGATTCTCTTCGGAGAGATGATTTCATCGATATATCACACTTGGGGTCTAGCGGAAATTATTACAGAGATATAGGGTGTGAAGAATCGACATTTTTCAACTTTAGGAATTTTTTTTGTCGAAACTATCCATTATTGGTCGAAACGGCTCACATGTCCCTATCTCAACTTTTGATCAACTATCTACTGCCATTTAATTGAAACAAATACAGGGTGGTGCAGAATTCAGAATCTTGATCACCAGGTATAATATGTCCCAATTAAATATCAGTATCGAAAGTTGAGATAAGGACATTAAGGCCGTTTTGACCAATTATGAATAGTTTCGACAAAAAAAATCCTAAAGTTGAAAAATGTCGATTTTTCACACCCTATATCTCTGTAATTATTTCCGCTAGACCCCAAGTGTGATACATCGATGGAATCAGCTTCTCAGAGAGAATCTGAAAATGCAATAAAATACAGGGTGTTCCATTCAAAATAACAAAGTTGTTGCTACTTTTCGATAGAAGTGGCAACGCCGCAGAGCTAAAAATATTTTAGATAGATAGACTAAGAGCAACTACGTGAGTAACCAAAATTTCAGAATGATCCTATGTCCGGTTCTCCATAAACGTCTAACGTACCATCGACCGTGAGTTACCCTGTATAAGAAGAATTCAGTCCATTATCAACAATATCAATTATGGCCAATAATTTGAGCATAAAAATAGGCCAATTAAATCTACAGATATCGAATATAGCACTATCTGAGGCAAGACAGGAGACTGAAAAGGTGACTTGCTGATCGTCCAAGAGCCATACACGATCAGGAGCCATAATGACCTGTTTCAGATACCAGGCATCAATTGTTTCAAATCAGGAAACTGATGCCCTAGAAGTGAGACAATTTGTAAATTGTAAGATGGTTACAGTTTTGCTGAAGATAAAGAGAGAACAATTCCTCATAGTGAAAATCTATTCTCCTCCTGGGGAAGAACTGATATTGGACTGATATGCTGGTACAAAAATATTCATTGAGGGTGACTTCAACAGCCGATCTGATATATGGCATGTTTACAGATCAACGTGGAACGTTTCTCGGAAGTTTTGTGCTGACTAACAATTCATTTATATTAAATCAAGCAGGAAATCCTAGCACATTTTCTACAGTAAATGGCCAAAGCAACATTGATGTTAGCTTAGTGTCAGAAAATCTACCATTTTCTGGACATTGGAAGGTATTTATAGGTGAAGTTCAAAGTGATCATCGATGGATAGAGGTACTACTCAACAAAGATGAGCAAAACGAAATTGACGACCAGGAACCAAAATATAATGTTGAACAAGTCACTCCAGAACAAGTGCTTTCATATGCTACTTTATTGGCCAATGATTTACAGGAATAACTTCTGAATACAAAAGAAGATATCGATCTATATATTGGAGTTATCACTAGAGGAATAGGAAACATGACCAAAAGACTCGGCAAAAAATCTTGTAGGCCCCAAAGATATGCCCCCTGGTGGAACAATGAAATTGGGGCATTAAAATAGGAAGTTAAGAGGGCTAGGAAATCATATCATCAAAGAACTAGAAGAAACAACTCACCTGGAGAAGAAAGAACAGCTTCCAGACAATTGTATCATAGGAATTCAAGTGGCTACAAGAGAAAAATCTGCGAGGCTGAAAAATTATTCTGGAATGAATTCGTTGAAAATGACTTGGCAAAAAACCCATGGAAGGTTACATACAAGATTCCGGAAAGAAAATTGAAATCAATGTTATGCAGAACACTGTAAATAGTGATTAAGGTCTGGTAACTACGAATTTTGATGAAACTCTCACAAACATTGTCAATAAATTGATGCCAGATGACGACCCCTTACACCGATAATGAAGTGAATGCCGAATGGAGGAAAGAGCAATTTCGGTATATAGGTAGACGAAACTGATATGAATCAAGAACATTTAAATGTAGCTATACATTCTATGAGGAACAATAAAGCCCCTGCCCCTGATGAGATTCATGAAGGAATGCTAGTATGTTGCTATGAACATATAAAAATGGGCTCATTAAAGTTATTTGAGGCGTGCATGAGGAACAATTATTATCCGGATAAGTGGAAAAAAGGCAAGCTAATCACAATAATTGAAACATAAGACAAAGATCCAATGGACCCAAAAGCTTCACGCCCCAGAACTTGGCAAAATGCTTGAAAGAGTAATAATACAACTCCTGAAATCCAATATTGAAGGAGAATTAGTGAGCGACTCACAATTTGGGTTTACACCAAGAAGAGGCACAACTGATGCCTCAAATAGGGTTTTGGGATTCGCGAACAGTCCATGCCAGCATGAAATGTTAATCACTATAGATATATCAGAAGCTTTTGATAATATGTGGTGACCAGGCTTGCAGAAGTACTTGCATGAGCCCCATATTTCTGCTGATCTCATTGGGCTAATGAGAACTTACTTAACTTATAGATGGGTAAAGTATGCAACTAAGAATGCCCATGTAGAAAAATATCTAACCAAGCGATGCCCTCCAGGATCAGCGTTAGGCCCAATATTATGGAATCTTACTGTTCAACCACTTCTGGAGTCTAACTGGAAGAATGCAGTAAGATATCATTCAGAAAGAATTTTGAAAACCGAAACTGCCTTATGTTAGAGCTGTATAAAAGACTTGGAAGATACCCAAAGACATAGGCTGATTGAATGCAGGGACAGAGACGAAATTCAATGGACTCAATAGGCCGAGATATAGAATATCCTGTGGAGATCATACAGGAACTGGGACAGGATTTGAGCATACTGATTTGAGCATACTGGAAACATTCCTGAGACAAACAAGACCCAGATGAAACAGAATTATAAATTGATGAAGATGCCACCTAGGATGGAGCTGGTAGACCTGGGTAACGTTATTCCAAGATGGAAAAAGATAGAAGAGTCCGTGAATTAGCAGAAGAATACAGGAGGACTGAAATAGTAGACTGAAATAATGTTAAATAAATTGTAATGTACAAAACTGTATTATATACAAGTATTTTGGTAATGAAAAAATATAAAAGCAAAAAGGGGCACCTGTTGAAATTTCCGCTCTTTTCCTAATTCAAGTTTTCCGGAGGTAAGCCGAAAGGCAGGAACTTCGAAGTACGAAAGTCTTCCACACACTTCTACTTTGATCCCATTGAATAATGTCCCCATTTTGAGAGATACCCACATATTCATGATGTGGAGGTGGTGGAGGGATCTCTTAACCTCCTCTCGTTTTTTGTTTTTCTGTTGGTGTCTAGCGTGGCCTGGCTAAATCGAAATCAATAGGCATTCAGGAAAGAATAGCTTGTATCAGAATTCGTTTATACTAGTTGATGCATAGATTTGGGGAGGATGTAATTCGATGTTCAGCGTAGCATTAGCCAGGAAAGTAGTTGTTTGCCTCCCGAAATCTACCATTATTGTTTATTTTATGAACATTGTGTGGAAATGACTTTGAGCTTTTGTATTTATTTAACATTTCATTCCACTCTGAGCATTGTGGATATTTAGTAGTTCTTATCACCTTATATGGTTGGTGCTTTGTTTGAATAATCTCCAGACACATTATCATGTATTACACGAGGGATACGGTGTCTACGTGGTCTGAAGTAATCAAACTCTCTAGACAGTCGTTCATGATGCCACTGCTGAGCAATCATTTTCAAGATGTTTGATTCTTGGTTATAATCCCAACAGCGCCTTAGAAGTGGTTCGATATTTACTATAAGCAGTCGGTCCTGCTTTTTCTGAACTAGCAAAAGTATAGGCTTCTGGGAAGTTGATTCTCAACTTGAAGAAAAAAATTAAACTTCCAGAGTATTTATGAATTTGTCCAGAAGATGTTAAGAATTCCGTGTATCTGCAGTTAATCCTTGGGTAGAACATTATGAGACACTCAACCTGGTGACTGTCTTACAGAAACTTGATGAATCATGACGTTCAATTGGATAAATCCAATAAAACCTGTTGAACAAAACTGAGAGAGACGTAAATCACTACAATGGAGCAGAGTACGGAAATGAGGTGAAGATTTTCGATTAATATCAGTTTGGGAATGAAACCGTAGATTTCAACGAATGTATACTACAATTTTCAACGGAAAGTATTCTGAACAACTTTCGTTCCGCTTCGTATAGAAAAAGAAAAGGATATTACAAAGACATGTTTCGAAACCAGGCGGTTTCTGAAACCATATGACCAATTAATTTTTAAAACCCTGGTCCTCTTCAGAACCCCGAGGAAGTAATAGCAGAGCAATTTGACTTTCACCAATATTCGATCTCACAATAATCTATGTATTTAGAATAATAAATTACATTAGAACAGATTTGATAATCAATCAGAGATTCATCCTTTTCTGTATTCACCACCAGTGCTTTCATGATGTTCCAGTGTAGAGTCATGAAACATTTTATTACCAGATAGTCTTTGAATTCCAATATACGATGAACAGTACCTTGTATAATATCAGGAGACAATCATATTCCAGCAAGGTGCATGAAAATTATTGAATTTCCAGAAATATTTCGGCAGAATGTAATGTAGAATTTTCGATATATTGTGCAGTCCTATGTTTCACGCTGTAGTATCCTAATCAAGGCGAATACAATAAATAACGCTGGTTGATTCGTTGACCAATGGTTCATGAAGACGGTGATATATGGAACCATGGAATATTAAAATGAGTTACTTATAAACATAATTACCTGAGATTCGTTATAGAAAATGTATTGCCAATACCAAAAAGATTTGTCTACATGACCCGGAATCAAATGATGAGTTGGCGCGAATGCGAAAAACCTTCCTCTGTGCTCTGGATCTCTAGAATCTCCAGCCGTTACATTGACTGCTATAAGACATTTTCCCATTTCGACATCTTCTGCTCCTCCGTTGTCTTGTCTGCAGATATTTTTATTTGGCAGAGCTTCCTGCAATTGAAAAATAAAAAAATCAACTCATGTTTATGTCCTATGTACTTGATTGGGAATTCCTCAATTCTAGAATAACATCTCGAATTAAAATGATTTGAGAAAATGAATTAGCTTTCCTGAACATGTTAATAGAATCCATTGAACAATGTTCATTCAATCATTGTATCCATTCTTTCATTGGTAGATTACAGTCTGTGGCAGTGAGGTCCAAGCACTCAATCTCGCTGGAAACCACAACGTGTTTTTTGTGTATTATTTGTTGTTACAAGTAAAAATTTTCCTAGGTAAGAACTATATCAATTTCTATTGTTAAACCACAAAATTAGGTAATCATTAATTTTTCAGAAATAGTAGGTATCCATCAGGTAGGTGCGTGGTGTTATTGATAGAGGAAATGTAGTATCACTCTGTATAGGCTTTGGTCCAGTATTCCACTTGAATGTATATGACCCTGTAACCAAGAATTTACCGATACAGAAATTTATAATGGAGCAAGTATTATAATAATTTATGATACCAAACTCACTAGTAATCTTACCTTTGAACACTCTGTAGAAGAATGAACGACACATTTGGGTACTCTATAGCTCATTGCTTCATCTCCCTGTTTTGTAGTCACCGATACAAAGACCAAATATTGATCCCTCTGATAGTAGGATTTCTGGCAACAGGCTTCTCTCTGCAACACAAGAATAGTTAGAAGACAACAACTCAATAGTTGCATATCATATCTACCTTCAATCTCATGGTTCATCTTGGTTATCGAGTTTATCAATCTTGTTTACAACGAACAAGGACGAAACGAACACAGGTACCACAGCTCGATAACCTGTCAGGAAAGAGTGACCTACATTTCGATCAGCTGATGCACACGGTGACAGATCGCAGCTACTTCAGCGACTAATCTCGTGTCGATTGTTCTTTTGTTATTCCCAGTGTAGGTGATATATATATATATTTGCGAAGGTCGAGTTCTTCAATCGTGGCAAGACTATCACTCGCATGCTTGAATGACCCATGGCCATCTCCGAAAACGCTGGCATCGTCGCGGATCGATTCGAAGTCACATATTATGACGTCATATTGTGTTCTCACCAGCGCTGGTACCTATTCTGGTTTTGGTGCTTTAGCATGCTGCTGTCAGCTCTCAAGTCAAGACACTTGACAGAATGACGGACTTCATTTTACCATCATGAATGGTATATCGACATTGGGGAATTCATTTTTTTGGTTATCCTTCCTCGTGCTCATAAAGGAGCAATTTCTGTTTGTCAGGATTTTTAGGAGCCGAATAATTCAGTGATCGGAATATAGTTTGATTCCCGAGTCTTGGGGTATTATACCTATGTAATAGGATTTGAGTTCCGATCACTATCCCTAATTTGTTTCGTGAAGAAACCACATTGAAAGCCACTCACCAACCCAGGTAGGTGAGTAGGAAGGGGTACGGTATGGGCCACCCCCTCCACTTTTTTCTCTCTCCCCCTCCACCTCTCACCGCCTGCCTGTCGACCAATCAGGAGCCTCTATTTGAAATAAGTCCCGAGCCCTCGCGATTTGGCGGGAAATTCAAACGATGTTCGTGTAATGGTTCGTTTAAATATGAGAATGCTGGCGTTATCATATGGATCCTCGATTTATGTCGTTGGCGCGAAATTCAAACCCTCCATTAAAGAAAGGATCGCACAAAATGTAGACGTATCTGTTTGGCTATAAGCTACGATGCAGCCATCTGTTGTGAAACAATCATTACCTACAGTACCAACATGACGTGCGCGTTCTATGACACAGAACTAACCATTGGCCGTACTATAGTGCTGCTATCTGTTGTGAAATATCTATCACCCACAGTACCAACACAGTGTTCGCGTTCTGTGGCATAATTTCAACGGCCGTACTATAGATGCGGCCATCTGTTGTGAAAAGATCATTACCTAGAGTACCAACACAGTGTTCTGTGATATAATTTCAACGACTAAGCATTGGCCGTACTACAGAAATCACCCAGCGTTGTGCTATGCTGAAAACGGCAATTTTCCATACAAGATTCAAGATTCTTTGTAGGATGGGGTATTGAAACTCAATAAGGATATCTGTATTTATTATAGTTACAAAGAAAACAGTTGTCGTTCTCGAAATTACCCTATAGTAATATTTATTATCTTGTATAACTATGACGACCGATGATGACAGCTTCAAACGTTTCAGACGGCTTCAAAGTGCTTCAAAGCGTTTCAGATCGCTTCAGATCACACCTATAGAAGTATTCAGAGGTATTCGGAGGTCTTCAGATCACGCCTTCAGATGTCTTCAGATGTCTTCAGATGTCTTCAGATGTCTTCAGAGGTCTTCAGATCACGCCTTCAGATGTCTTCAGATGTCTTCAGAGGTCTTCAGAGGTCTTCAGAGGTATTCAGAGGTATTCAGCCGGCTATAAATAGGACTTGGTAGCAGTCAGACTAGTTTAACAGCAACCGACAAAGGAGCACCACCACCTCGCACCAATGGAGCCTGAGGAAAGAGAAGAGCAGTCAGCAGAGCAAACAGTAGATAAATATCATTGTACAGATTATGATAATGCTTATGGACCGAAATATGTTGACGGCAGATGGAAACTTGGAAATAAGAAACTACGTTTGTCGATAAAGATATAGTTGTAGATGATGTCAATTTTAAAAGTACTTTGGGTCTTTTGGAATTGATATTTTCCAAAAACCTAAAATATATACGCCTATGGATCACCATACATATAAACAGATATTGGAAAGCACCAATGTTCATCGCGGCGCACTAGACCGTTTGAGGGGACTTGCTAACAAGGCTAAATTCGATAAAATTATCAGACCCCTCTTCAAAAATAAGACCAGACCTAAACGAAGTGTCAGGGTGAGAGAAGAGCCTGATGTCACATCACAACATAGATCGAGAAGGGAGAAGCAGGCTGAAACGATCTACGATATTCTAGATAATTGGGAGGACACAAATATCTTGGTTGACAGACTAAGATATCTGATTGGAGCAAACGAACACGATGATAATGAAGAAATCTCATTGATTATTAACGGACTCAAGAATGCCAATGTAATATCATAATATTTAAATAAACGATATAAAAAGCTTTCGTCTTTCATTACATTTATACGGCTATGGGGTCCTCTTGAGCTGAACCTGTCGACTTGTCGCTGAGGCCATCAAGTCGAATCGACGAGAAGTCTGCAGAGAAGTTCATTTCTCGTAGTTTAGGGCTGTGCTTCATCAGTCCTCATCTACGGCTGCACCATCAGAAGGCTGAGCTGATGAGTGGGCAACAGGGTAGCGCGACGTCTCCTTATGGCATGGTCTGAAACTGCGGTAGGCTGTGAGACACAAGGTCTCAGTGTGCGTACAACAACAATATTTTTAAAAAGTTCAAGTGAAGAATCCATCACAGGTAATATGTCTCCTGATCAGGATTCGCCTCTCTTTTCATAGACCTCCACAGAAACCCAATGTTTCAATATCGGTTGAATTACGAGGTTCACCTGAACATTTTGAAAATATTTCGAAGAAGTAATAATATACATGACAAAAAATAATATTGTAGAGTATAAGTAAATGTATTGAATAAAAATATACCATAAGGGGCAGAATCTTCTAATATCGCAGGGGATGATAGCAAGCACAGATTCACCTCGGTGAATGCAGTACCCTGTATCTGATGGACCAAAGAATTACGATTATAAAGTCTGGTCAACTAGTGAGCAAACAGTTCCGTCGAACCAAGGAACATGAGGTCATCACAGTTGATGTAACCAAAAAGTACAAGTTTGAAGCGGAAATTTCTCGAAGATCACACTTCTGTACCTTACGGTTTCAAAAGCGGAAATCATTATAAATATTCTATGAATCACAGCATCGTCATTCCTTTTTTTCTCTTTATCAGACAGTGGTAAACAAATTGCGATTGAAGTTTTTTATCAGCGTTCTGTGTAAAATTCGATTAAAAATATGATTCTGAACCCTGGTCCCCCTGTCGAAATTTTGAGCAAACAGTTCCGTCGAACCAAGGAACATGAGGTCATCACAGTTGATGTAACCAAAAAGTACAAGTTTGAAGCGGAAATTTCTCGAAGATCACACTTCTGTACCTTACGGTTTCAAAAAGCGGAAATCATTATAAATATTCTATGAATCACAGCATCGTCATTCCTTTTTTTCTCTTTATCAGACAGTGGTAAACAAATTGCGATTGAAGTTTTTCATCAGCGTTCTGTGTAAAATTCGATTAAAAATATGATCTTGAATCCTGGTCCTCCGTGCAATATCTTGAGCAAGCAGAATCCCCGATTCGAGAAACAGAATAGTATATCGATAAATGTTTATAAAAGAAGAAGATAGTCACCCCGCAGGTAAATCTCTCAAAAATAAGGTAGAGAAGCATGTCAATCTCCTACTCTTTCAGGGTTAATACTTTGATGAGAAAGATGCTTGCGAAAGGCTTTCAGCCCCCCCCATCAACTATCAGTATGTGTGGAACAAAGATTTCTCCAAGCTTCTTTCGAAACAGCTGAGCAAAGAAAATGGGCGAAAATACATCTATGGTCACTGTTTACACTATTTTTATTCTGAAGATAAGCTCGATAAACATGTTGAGAATTGCGTGAGGATAAATGAGACCGCAATCAGAATGCCTGAGGAGGGGAACAACATTCTGAAATTCAAGAACCATAAAAACAAGGAGAAGGCCCCATTCATAGTTTATGCTGATTTGGAGTCTGTTTTGGAAAATACTGGAGATGCAAAGAAGCCTCAGCACCACGTTCCAGCTGCCGTTGGTTACTTTATGAAATGTTCCTACGACGATTCTCTCTCTCCTTTTATCGCTCATACCGAGGGCAGGACTGTATGGCGTGGTTCGCTGATGAGCTCAACCAGTTGGCCGAGGATATGTCTACGGTGTTCTTATGTCCATACAACATCGACATGACTGCTGAACAGGAAGCAGAATTCAGAAAAGCAACATACTGCCACATTTGTGAACAACCTTTTGGGGCTGATGATAAGAGAGTTCGTGACCATACGCATCTCATTCCGGAAAACAACTACAGAGGTCCTGCACATGAAAGCTGTAACGTTCGATACCAAGACAGCCATGTGGTGCCTGTTGTGTTCCACAATCTGAGTGGTTATGATGCAAATTTCATAATTGAGGATATAGCATCTAAAATGAAGGGTAGAGTTGATTTGTTGCCAATCACCAAAGAAAAATACATCTCCTTCACGGAACACGTCGATGAGACTTCAATTCAGTTCCGTTTCATTGACTCGTTTCGCTTCATGAACTCTTCTCTAGACATGCTGGCATCATATCTAGAGGAATTTCCGAACTTGAGGTCACAATTCAGCGAAATTCCTGAAGAAAATTTCCAAGTATTGACTAAAAAAGGTGTGATGCCGTATGACTACATCGACTCATTTGAACGCTTCATTAAGCTTATGAACAACACCGTCTTTGGGAAGTCCATAGAGAACATGCGAAAGAGGATCAACAAAGCTCAAACTGGAAAGTGGATGATGTATTTCCCAAAACCATCCTAAATTCAAAACGGCAAGACTGCTGGCGTCTATACCAACAAGGAAAGTATCAGCAGAATTGATTTTAAAAAAACTTCCGAGATTTAAAACAAGGCTCAATCAGGAAAATGGATGATGTTCTTTGAAAAACCCATTAGATGAAAAAAAATGAGAAGACTCGCGCCCATTTCCAC